TTATTACAGCTAATACATCAATGCATGATTGTCCTAATAGTGTTGGTAGATTACTACCTAAAATAGATTATAATATCCAATCAGTTGAAGGAGTAGAAGAAGGAGGAGAATTATCTGTAAAAGGACCTAATGTTATGCTTGGCTATATGCAACCAGATAATCCTGGAGTTATTATTCCAACCTCATCAAAGTTATTAGGGTTAGGATGGTATGATACTGGGGATATTGTAAAAATTGATAAAGAAGGTTATTTTACTATTTTAGGACGTATTAAACGTTTTGCTAAAATAGGTGGAGAAATGGTTTCATTACTAAGTGTTGAAGATATCGCGTTTGGTATTGATAAAAATAGTATCCATGCCTCTATTTATTTAGAAGATGCAAAAAAAGGTGAACAAATATTGCTTTTTACTACAAGTTCTATTATAAATAAGGGAAGTTTTATAAAAAAAATAAAAGAAGAACTGATATCAACATTACTTTTACCTAAATTTATTATTAATGTTAAAGAGATACCAGTATTATCAAATGGAAAAGTTGATTATATAAAAATACAGCATATGGGGGAAGAATATATTAGGCAATATGATATTAAGAAAACTTAATTTAGATAAAACAATATATTCTAATATGAATAAAAAATTTTTCTTAGAAATTATTTTTATAATATATAAATCTTATGCTTTGACTTTAAGTAATAAAGTTCTTATAAAGAATTAGTTGAAACTCAGAAGAATGTCATGCAGAATTTTGTTGGTAAAATATTATTAATTATTATCATTGCTCTTATAGCTTTGTTTATGTTTAAAACAATTAAGTCTTCTGCTGTTGTTTCTGCTCCAGCCTTAGTAAGTGACTCTAAGCAACAATTATCAAGTGAAGCAAATGAAAAAGACAAGTTGCAGGTTGTTATTAAAGAATATTTAATGAGTAATCCAGGAGTAATTGTTCAAGCTATTGAACAATTCCAAAAGCAACAGATAGAGGAAAGAAAAAATAAAGTTGAAGTTTATATTAAAGATCATAAGGCGGAAATTGAAAATATGCGAGTTTCGCCTGTGTTTGGTAATGTGAAGGGAGATATAATAATAGTCTCTTTTTATGATTATAAATGTTCTTATTGTAAAAAGGGGGCTGTTTATATGGGTAAGTTAATTGAGTCTGATCCAAATGTTGGACTTATATTAAAACCTTATCCAGTTCTTGGTGATGCTTCTTATTACGCTGCAAAAATTGCTCAATCTGTTTATAAAGTTTATCCGGGTAAATTTGGTATTATCCATGATGGATTAATGCAAATGGAGCATATTACTAAAGATGCAGTAGAACATTTGCTACAGGTTAATAATATAGATGTTAAAATAATTGAAGAAGAAATAGATAAAGAAGAAATTAAGAATCTTATTAAAAAGAATATTGAATTAGCACAAAATTTGAAAATTCAGGGAGTTCCTGCTTATGTTATTAACAATAAGTTAATACCAGGTATGAGGGATTTAGTACAATTACAAAAAATAATTGCTGATATTAGAAAAGATACTAAATAAAGAAAAGAAATTCGAATAACACAATAAGTATAAATAATTTGACAATCGTGCAATAATTTGCTAAAATCTGCTCTAATGCTAAAGACGCTATAAACATATCTTAAGTTTAATCTCACTTTTAAGTAAATTATAACTTCTACTACATTTTTGTAGGTTTTGTATACTTCCAAATTTCACTCAAAGCAATTATAATTTGCAACAAACCTAAAATAATCAATTAATCTAAAATAAATAAGTATGACTAAATATACAACTGTAGAAAACAAGGAATTTATCAGTAATTCTTCTGGTAATAATAATATTAAATGTCATGATATTAATAAAAATAATATTACTATTAATTTAAAACAATTAAAGTCTAAGTCACCTAAAGACTTACAAGAACAGGCTGAAACTTTAAATATTGAAAATGCTAGTGCTTTATTAAAGCAGGAATTAGTATTTGCTATACTTAAGAAATCTGTTGAACAAGGGGTTTTAATTTTAGGGGAAGGAGTACTTGAAATTTTACCTGATGGGTTTGGTTTTTTGAGGTCACCGGAAGTTAATTATTTAGCAGGTCCTGATGATATATATATTTCTCCAAAACAAATACAACGTTTTGGGTTACGTACAGGAGATACTGTAGAAGGAGAAATTAGGGCTCCTAAATTACCAGAACGTTATTTTGCATTATTAAAAGTTAATAAGATTAATTTTGAAGAATGTTCCAAAGTCTATCATAGAGTGCATTTTGACAATTTGACACCTCTTTATCCTGATGAAAAATTATTATTAGAAACAGAAGATAATAGTAAAGATTTAAGTACAAGAGTAATTGAACTTGTAGCTCCAATGGGAAAAGGTCAGAGGGCTTTAATAGTAGCGCCACCAAGGACTGGAAAAACTGTTTTATTACAAAATATAGCTCATGCTATTACTACTAATAATCCAGAAGTGTTTTTAATTGTACTATTAATTGATGAGCGTCCAGAAGAAGTAACTGATATGCAACGTTCGGTTCGAGGTGAGGTAATTAGCTCTACCTTTGATGAACCAGCAAGTAGGCATGTGCAACTAGCTGAAATGGTTATCGAGAAAGCAAAACGTTTAGTGGAACATAAAAAAGATGTTGTAATATTAGTAGATGCTATTACAAGGCTTGCTAGGGCTTATAATACAGTAGTGCCATCTTCTGGTAAGGTGTTGACTGGTGGTGTTGATGCAAATGCATTGCAGAAACCAAAAAGATTTTTTGGAGCTGCTCGTAATATTGAAAATGGAGGGTCTCTGACTATAATAGGTACTGCCCTTATTGATACTGGTTCTCGTATGGATGAAGTGATTTTTGAAGAATTTAAAGGTACTGGTAATTCTGAAATAGTACTTGATAGGAAAATTGCTGAAAAACGTATTTATCCAGCTATTGATATTACTAAGTCTGGTACACGTAAAGATGAGTTATTGGTTAATAAAGCAGAATTAGCAAAAATGTGGATTCTACGTAGAATTATTAATCCAATGAGTACTATAGATTCAATGGAATTTTTACTTGATAAGCTTAAGAATACAAAAACTAATATGGATTTTTTCAATTCTATGAATTCATAGAATTATTATCTTATCTCAACTAGTAATAAAAATTATAATTCTTATTAAAATGAGTGTTAGTAAAAGAAAAATATACTGTATTACTTATAACATATTCTTAAGGTATAAGTGCCATAGTAAATTAATTAATATTAGGTGAGAGGATATGTTAAGATATTGGTAGTTAAAAAAATGTAGTAAATAGTGATGTTAACAAGTCCATATAAGTGAAGAGAAAACTAAGATAATATTATTAGTTATTTATTCTATTCTAATTATACCACTACTTACAGATATTGACATTACGAAGACCTATTACTGGTAAAACTTTCTGTGCTTGCTGCCCATAATGAAGGTAAAACAGTTTTCCATATATTACTTGAGAGTTCATCTAGTTCTGATGGAAAAGTAGCAGTTTCAGAGATTTTTTTAAACCATTGTACTGATATCCATCTATCAGATAATAGTGGTCATACGCTAATTGATTTAGCGAGAGAACATAATACGGAAATACTATCGATGTTTTTTCAGAAGAATTTGGTAGGAGATAATATTCATACAGATAGTTCGGTATAGAACATATATTTGACTTTTACGTAAGTAGTGATAAAGTAATATTAGAGTTATATGGCTATATCGCTCTAATAACTAAAGTTTGTTAACTTATATTTTGTGGCTTTTTATTTTATAAATTGTTAGTAATATGTAATTAATTTACAATTAATGTTTATAAAAGCTTTTTATTACTAGCATTTTGTACTTTTTAATATCAATATCAAGAAAATTTAGTTTATAATAATCGCTTGTATATCAGTTTTTAAATTGAAGAAGTGATTATTACAAGTTTTATTTTGATTGTATCTATGCCTAATTGTTCACTATTACTGTAATTAAAATTATAAATAAATTTTGTTTAGAAGGATTTAATGAGTAAAAGAATAAAAATATCTCTAATTGGTTCTGGTAATATTGGAGGAACTCTTGCTTATTTAATTAGTTTAAAGGGGCTTGGTGATGTGGTTATGTTTGATTTATCTGAAGGATTATCACAAGGTAAGAGTTTGGATATATCTCAAGCAGGTGTAATAAAGGGGTCAAATGCCATATTAAAAGGAACTAATGATTATAAGGATATTAAAGATTCAGATATTATAATTGTAACTGCTGGATTGCCACGTAAGTCTGGTATGAGTAGAGATGATTTAATTAATATTAATGCAGATATTATAAAGATTGTAGCAAAAAATATTAAAACATACTCTCCTAATAGTTTTGTCATTGTTATAACTAATCCTTTGGATATTATGGTTTACGTAATGTTAAAAGAAAGTGCTTTAGATCCTAAAAAAATTATAGGGATGGCAGGAATATTGGACTCATCACGATTTAACTATTTTTTATCGGATGAGCTCAAAATATCAGCAGAAAATATTACTAGTTTTGTTCTAGGTGGACATGGTGATTCTATGGTACCGTTAGTTAGATACTCTACTGTTTCTGGTATACCAATACCAGATTTAGTAAAAATGGGATGGATTACTAAAGAACGTATTGATGCAATAGTAGAACGTACTCGAAATGGTGGTGGTGAGATTGTATCTTTACTTAAAAATGGTTCGGCATATTATGCTCCTGCTAGTGCAGCCATTGAAATGGTTGAAAGTTATTTAAGTGATAAGTGTAAAATATTATGCTGTACTGCCTATCTGCAAGGAGAATATGGATTAAATGATATTTATATTGGAGTACCAGTTATTATTGGTAAAAATGGTATAGAAAAAATAATAGAAGTAGAATTTACTAATGATGAAAAGTCCTTATTTAATAAGTCTGCTGAGGGTATCAAAAAATTAATAGAGTTAGTTTATAAATAGTTAACTGCTTTTAGTAAGCCTAATATAACTGATTATAATTATATAATAGCAGGTACTTAGGAGTTATATAACAATATTTATTACTTTTTGTGGTATAAGGATAATTTTTTTTGCTTCCTTTCCTTCTATATATTTTTGGATTTTAGGTAAGTTAATAGCAATTTTTTTGATCTCTTCATTACTTATAGCAATATCAAATTCATGAGTTTCTTTTAATTTACCGTTTATCTGAATAGCAATAATATAAGATTGTGCTATTAATAAGGATTTGTCAAAGGTTGGAAAAGGCATTTTATATAATCTTTCTGTATTACCTAATCTTTGCCAAATTTCTTCAGTAATATGTGGAATAAAGGGATTAAGTAATCTAATTAAAATAGAGAAACCCTCTTTTATTAATTCTATGTCTAGTATGTTATTTTCTGATAATTTGTCTGATAAATTATTAAATAATTCACGCATTCTAGCTATTGCTTTATTTAACTTAAAAGAAACTATATCTTCAGCAACATATTTAATAGTAGAGTGAATAAGCTTTAATAGTTGTTTTTGATCTGGTACAGCGTCATTCACAAAGCTTGATACAAGCGAATTTTTTGCCATTCGCCTTTGCTCACGTACTATTTGTACGCTTGCGCAAGGTGTAGTCTCAAATTCATCTTGTCTGAAGCTTTGTGAATTTAGCTGTAGATTAATTTTTGAATCTTTTTGTATAATAGTTGTTTGATTATTATACATGGCTATTACTTTTAACATATTTTGTAACTTAGCAATAAAACGTGAACAACCTTCTATACCACTTGCCGACCATTCTAAGTCTTTTTCAGGGGGACTATCTGATAATATAAATAATCTAATTGCATCTGCACCATAATTTTTTAACATAGAATCCAAATCAACAATATTTTTTTTAGACTTACTCATTTTTTCAATTCGTCCTTTAGTTACCTCTAAGCCACTTTCCTTATGAACTAACTTGTCTCCTTGTTTAACTACTTCATCAGGATATAAAAACTGATTATTTGAGTCTTTATAAGTAGCATGTAATACCATGCCTTGATTTAAGAGATTAATGAAAGGTTCACGAATAGAAATAATTTTTTGCTCATTCATTAGTTTAGTAAAAAATCTTGCGTAAAGAAGATGCATTACAGCATGTTCAATACCACCAATATATTGATCTACTGGTAACCAATAATCACAAGATTCTTTATTAGTCATTTCCTTTGCTGATACATCACAATAACGTGTAAAATACCAAGAAGATTCAAAGAAAGTATCAAAAGTATCAGTTTCACGAATAGCATTTTCATGACATTTAGGGCAGTTAGTATGTTTCCAATTAGGATGAGCGTCAAGTGGGTTACCGTGTCCATCAAATATAACATCTTTAGGTAGAATAATAGGTAAATTATCTTCTGGTACTGGTACAGCACCACATATATTACAATAAATTATTGGGATAGGGCAACCCCAAAATCTTTGTCTTGATACACCCCAATCTTTTAACCTATAATTAGTAGTACGTTTTCCTAAAGATCTTTTTTCAAGTTCTTCTATAGATTTTTGTCTTGCATCTTGAATAGTAAGATTATTTAAAAAATTAGAATTAATTATAATTCCATCACCAACATAGGCAGCACAATTTACATCAATTGCAATATTTTTATTTTCTATTACCTGTTTAATAGCTAAGTTCATTGAAAGAGCTAATTTGTGATCTCTTTCATCGTGCGCAGGACAACCAAAGATTGCTCCAGTACCGTAATCCATCAATATAAAATTTGTAATAATAATAGGAATAAATATGGTAGAATCAAATGGGTGAATTGCATAAAGACCTGTAAATATACCTTCTATTTTAGTTTTTTCTATTGCAGCATTAGTATTTAAATTTGAATATTTTTGAATAAATTCTTCTATCTCATTTGTTTTTTTTACCAATTGTGAAATGATAGGATGATGGTAGCTAATAGCAACAAAGCTAGCTCCAAAGATAGTTTCTGGTTGAGTTGAAAAAACCTCTATAGTAGCATAATGATCTTTTACTTTAAAGTTAAAATTAAGTCCATGAGATTTACCAATCCATTTTTCTTGCATAGTACGTACATTATGAGGCCAAGCTGTAAGATTAGATAGTTCGCTTAATAATTCTTCTGCATAATTAGTAATTCTTAAGAACCATTGTTTAAGGTAACGTTTTTCTATAAGAGCTCCAGAACGCCATCCTCTACCGTCAATTACTTGTTCATTAGCTAAAACTGTTTTATCTACTGGATCCCAATTAACTAGAGATTCTTTTTGATAGGCTAGGTCTTTTTTGTACAGCTCTAAAAAGAATTTTTGTTCATGTTTATAGTAATCTGGGTCACAGCTTGTTAATTCCCTTAACCAATCATATGATAATCCTATTGATTTCAATTGATCACGCATAGTATCTATATTTATATAAGTCCACTCCATCGGATGAGAATTATTGCTAATTGCTGCATTTTCAGCTGGTAAGCCAAAAGCATCCCACCCCATAGGGTGAAGAACATTAAAATTTTTTGATCGCATAAAACGTGCTATACAATCTCCAATGGAATAATTACGTAAGTGCCCCATGTGGATTTTGCCTGATGGATATGGTAACATCTCAAGTATATAATATTTAGGGGAGGTACTATTATTAATCGCGACAAAGGCATTTTCATCATGCCAAATTTTCTGCCATTTCTGTTCAATATTCTTCATACTTAACTAATTTATATATTTTTTACAAAATTAAGATTTTTAAAATGTTCATATGGATTGTTAGTACTATTTTTTTTGTGTTGTACTAATATATAGTTCTCTAGCTTTTCTTAAAATTTTATTTTCTAAAGTTAAAGCAAGATAAGACTTATTATCATTTTCTATCCAATAGCCATTTCTGAATATTTGTTCAAATATTTTTATATCAATTGCATTTGGGCTGATAGTACTATCCTTAATAAAGATATTAATTTTAAACCTAAATTTTGTTGTTTCTTTTGGACTATACCAATCAGTAATAATAATACCACTATTTATATCAGTTGAAGACAAAGGGATAAATCTTAATATTTCTAAAGATGCTTGCCATAGATATTTATTAGTAATAGAACCAAGTGATGTTTTTGTTGACTCATTTTTAACTTTACTAGGTCTAAATACTATTCCTTCTCCACCAACTATAGAACCCATTTCTTCTAATTCTTGTTCAAACTTAGTTTCTGGATATTTACTATCTGCAAAAAGATTATTACTTAAGGTAAATATAGAATATACTATACTAATTATTATAAGAATATCCTTTTGAATAAAGTTATTTTTCATTTTTTACCTAATGATATTTTAGATTAATCGTTAATATTGTGTAGTATTATATGTTTTTAGTAATTATGACAATAAATATTTATGTTATATTATAATACATAAAATACAGCTTTTATAAAAAATTAATATATTAATTTATAGTCAAAATTGCTGTGTAGCATTAAATTAATGAGAATATAATAGAGCTTTAGCTTTCAGTCAAAGGGAAAGAAATATTTTATTTTTATATATAAAATCTTTAACTGTCAAATCTTGTCCTTATTCTTACAACAATAAGGACAAGATAACTTTTTATTTTACCTACCACGTTGTTGTTCTGTGTTTTGTTGCACTCTATTGCTGAATGTAGATTGAAGATTTTTTTTAACCGCTTCAATTCTTTGTTTGTCTATCCTTCTATTTGGTGATAATGTATCACTAACGTTTATACTTTCAGATATTATCTTTCTCATATTATCGAGGAATTCTAATTGATTAGAAGAAATTTGCTTCGTCAAGAATTTTGATATAGTTGGCAATTTTATAGTTTGAAAAAACTGCTATCTTATAATATATTTTCTCTTTAATAGCGAGGTTAGGAGTTGTTAAATTAATCAGTTGTGCAGTTTTTCAATATTTTCTTTATAGCTTGGTTTTCTCTTGATATTAATAATATCTTGATCTTCTAGGATCTGTGCATTTTTTAAAGAATCTAGGAGTTGATTATAAAATGTCTCTACTTTTTGTATACTAACTTTTGTATTGACAATTTTTTTAGTAAAATCTTCTGTAGTGACAATTTTTTCAGTAAAATTGGTAATTATACGTTCTATCTCCTGTACTGCAATTTGATCTTGGGGAAGCATCCATTCCTGAGGGCTTACTTTTATATCTCTTTGTTTTTCTTCAACCTTTACTTCCTTTTGCTGCCAACTATTACCCTGTTTTTGCCATTCTTGTTTTGTTGTTGGTTTAGTTTCAGCAGAAACTTGAATTGTATAATTATTTTCTCTTGCCCAATCTAATTGCTCTTTTCCACCAATCTTAGTATTAGTCCATTCTGCATATATTACAGGATCTACATCTATTTTTGCAAATTCTTGTACCCATCCTCCTTGTTTAAATTTATCAGATAAATTATCAAATTTTGTTATTACATCTATGTTTTTTGCAATTGTCCTCATATTAATAAGGTGTTCTTGCATATTTTCCTTATAGATTTTTCTTAAATCATCAAAATTGTTAATATTTTTATTTCTATATTTTCCATCTAGAAAGCTCCCTATCTCCATATTTCTTGGATCAAATTCATTTTTTTGTAATTCATCCATTTTTTGATCAATTATATTATCAACCTGTTTTGTATCTAATTGATTTATCATTTGGTTCAATGCTTGAGAATATTTATCGATATTAAATGACAAATTACCTTTTTCAATAGCTTGTTCATAGTTAACACCGGGTTTTGAAAACATTTCATATGTTGATTCAAGCATATTACTCAAATCTGAATAAAATCTCATAAAAGATCTACCATGATCAATTTTTGTTATAGTTTTGCCATCTTGTACCATTAAATTACCAGCATGATAATCTCTATCTCCTAACATATGACATGCTGCAATTACTTTTTCTAATCCTGTTAATTGTTTTAATTGTGTGTTATATGCATTAATGCGAGTTTCTCCTGGTGTCAAACCGGTAAATTCTGCAAGTGATTTTGCATTATCAAAAAATTTTGAAAGTATATATAAGGAATCTTGATGATCTTTATCAGGTTGAACTAATTCTTCTTTTGGTGCACGATCATATAATAGGAACTGGTACATAGTAGAACCTATCAATTCTTGTACATTATCTCTCCTGTCTCGAATAGCTTGTTGTATTTCCTCTGGATCTTTTTTGGCCAAACAATCTTCATATCTTTTATAAAATTGTTTTAACATAAAAGTATGGTTAGTTCTTGTTTTTGTTGCGATATAGCCTTTAGACATACCAGATGTCTTAGCTTCTTTTCCTGTAAATTCATTTTGCTGTTTAATTGCTTTATCATGTAGCATATTTTGAATTTCATTGAATTCTGAAGGCTCTATTTTGTTAGGGCTTAATCCTGTCTGATTTTTAATTATGTTGTTGTTAGCTAATTTTTCGGTCAATACTGTATCAATAGCTTCTCTTAATTCTTTATTTTTTTCTCCTGGAAAAGAATTTTTGATGACTTTTAATATTTGACCTAACTTCTTATCTAAAGCTGAAATCTTTTGAACAGATGATGTAACTGTAGCTTGATAAGACTGTAAATTCAATGGAGATGGGTAATTATAAAGATTAATGACAGAAGTAGCAATTCTGTCACATGATCGATTTATTTCCTCATCTTCTACTTGATTATTAGTACGAAGCGTTTTAAATAATTTGCGCTTTAGTGATTCTTTCACATTTGTAGACATATATATACCTTATTAGTTTAAACATTACACAAATTGCTCAAAAAAGTTTTTATTTAAAACAACTCGAAATAAATTATACCATTTCCCTAATATAATTAGATATATGAGCAATTACATAGAGATTTTATAGTTTTTACTGAAATAGATGGGTTTGTAATATAGTTTGTGTAAGTTGCAAAAGAAGCAGTAAGAGATTACTGTAGAGAAAGTAACTTAAACAAAGGAAA